TGAGCACATGACCACGTCAGACACTGCCTCAGAGACTGAACGCTCTGGAGGAGCTCCACCCCAACGGGAACCGGCTCAGGTATCTCATGACCCAGTGGTAGGAGCCCTGGGGGGGAATTCACCTGTCAGCTGGATCGGGAATGCTCCTGCGTCTCCTGGAGGAGGAGGAGAAAGAATCTGTGCCATGGCTTCAACATGACCACAGACCAGTCTGAAAGTGCAAACAGGAGAGCAAATACGTTCGGCATCAGCTGATCACCTCGCTCTCTCAATCACAGCAGGAGGAGATATCGCAATCATTACAGCTTTGACCTTTAAATGTGATTGTTGGCTCCCTTTGAAGCAGGTTCTGGTTGGTTCAGCTATTCAGTCTAACGGCTCTCTGCTGTTTCTTTTCAGAGTAATCGCGGAGAAGCAGAAGGAAACGCTGTACGCCCACCAGAAGAAGTACATCCAGTGCTGGAGCCAGGAGTCCAAGGAGCCGGGATTCGTGAGCATCAAAGAGCTGGCGGAGGCCATGTGCCGCTACGACCTGGATGACATGGACCTCTACTGGCTGCATGCGCTCAACCACGAGCTTGAACGCATGGGTAAGACGGGCCCAATGATCCAGCGTGACGCTGCATCTTCCTTCTTTCTGTTTCTGCACATTTGTTTTTGTCTTCTGTTGGCTTTGTATTTGAGGCTTTTTACATGTATTTTAATATTTGGCTGTTTTTCAAAGTTAAACCTTCCTGTTTATTATAAATGAGGGCCATCTGCAGCACTGGTGCTGCCCACTTGGGGGGGGGCACAGTCCACACTTTGAATACTTCAGACACCTCTGTTCTTGTTGTCGGGAGTGTCTGATCACGTGGGATGTTGCTGTTTGGTCCTGCAGGTGAAGAGCCGGTGGACGAGCTAATGATGGAGCGAGCGATGGAGGCGCTGGAGAGGCAGTGCCACGACAACATGAAGCACGCCATCGAGACAGTGGAGGGTCTGGGGATTGAATACGATGAAGACGTCATCTGCGATGTGTGCCGCTCTCCGGACAGCGAGGAGGGCAACGACATGGTGTTCTGTGACAAGTGCAACATCTGTGTGCACCAGGTAGGAAACGCCTTTCTGCTTTTGCTAGCCCTGACCTTGTGACTGGAACGTGTGTCGGAACCCCGGGCAGCACACTTGTGTTTTTGTGTTGTTTCTGCTGATGTTCTGGTTACACATCACTTGCATCCCACTGTTCTTTCCGCAGGCGTGCTACGGCATTGTTAAGGTGCCCATTGGTAACTGGCTGTGCCGGACATGCGTCCTCGGTATTGACCCGCAGTGCCTCCTGTGTCCCCAGAAAGGCGGGGCCATGAAGGCGACACGAGCCGGCACAAGGTGGGCTCATGTGAGCTGCGCTCTGTGGATCCCTGAGGTAAGTGAATCTGGGGTGAGGGGAAGTGGGTGCAACAACACCAACAGTGACAAATAATGTTTTGGGGGTTTTTTTGTATCAGAGACTGAGATGAAAATATTTACTGCTTTGGTCTATAGACCTTTAATAAAGGAGCACATGTGCAGAAATGATAGTGACAGTGAAAATGTGTGGTGCTGTCGTGTCCTCTGTGTGCTCCTCATCGCCTTCTATTTTTCGGCCTCCATCCTGCAGGTGAGCATCGCCTGTCCAGAGAGGATGGAGCCCATCACCAAAGTCTCCCACATCCCCCCCAGTCGCTGGTCTCTGATCTGCAGTCTGTGCAAGCTGAAGACAGGTGCGTGCATCCAGGTGAGTTATTCCTTCCGTTTCATGCCATAGAGATTACTTTAGACTGATTGCATGGCTGCAGACATTCAAGTTTGATTTTATGATCCTCGAACCGTCTGCAGCAAGAGGTCTGCACTGGCG